GAACCTTCCAAGACTTACAGCTGGTTTGTCCTTTGTTTCATTCATTTTTTTCCCTCTCAGTTACAAACTCATGTAAAGCCCAGGCTAATCTAGAGTGTAACATGAGCGAGGATTTTGCTTATTCATAACAATTTATTAAGCTGTGCAAAGATAGTGCAATTTTAAAAGTTTTTAGATTGTATCTCTTCCTAAAGAGTAGAAAATGCAAATGGCTTAATACAATCAGCTGTATCTGCTTAGACTTGCTAAATCATGGGGAGTCATGGTGCAAAACAACACAGCTCTCTTCCAGGCAACACTCTAAATTTATGGTACAATGATGCCAGATGACAATGGAATTGCAAAGGAAGTGCTTAGTACCTCAAAAATTAATACCTAGCGAGTCCATTTTTTTATAGTGATGATTATAAGTATTCACTCTGTGTTTGAACATAATCCTCTCAGAACAGCAGTTTACTAAATGTACTGGAGATTATTGAACAAAATACAAGTTGAGGTCACGTTTGGGTCTTCATTGGGCAAATAACTATCATTTTCTTCTCAATCAAAAATAAAATTGCAATGTTGCAGGAGGCATTCGGGTTTGGTGGATACAAATGGGAGGTTGATACCTGGGCTCTGAGCAATTCAGAGCTATGCAGAGGAAAACAAGCACATCACACTTCTTCTTAGTTATGAGAAAAAGTGTATTATTTGACTTCAGGAGCTGTTACTTGAATGTGAAAACACTGACCAAACACTCTAAGAGGTGGCAATGCAGGGATGGACACCTGCCTTGGTGTAAATACTGACGGAGGTGCAGAGATGATAAATAGGAGGGAGGGAGGGAGGGAGGAATTCAGCCTCTCCCAAACCTTTCCATTGTTCACTTCAAATAGAAGTTTCACAACCTCTGCTTTATGATCCATTTGTTATATTATGTGCCTATTTGATTTGGAGTAACAAATCAGTTATAAACATTTATTTTTAGCAATGAATCACACTTCTGGGCACACTTAAGCAGAGCTCGTGTATGATCTGTCCGGTACTCTGTGTGCAGCTCTTTGCATCAGATGAAAAATGTACAACTTAATCAATTGTAACTGTAGCCATATACCAGGAGGGCTGTTTGATCTTAAATCTGAAGAAATCATCACGACTTTGTTTATTATTTCCAATTTCACGGTCTCACGCAAAATGCAAGAGTTTATCTTAGCAGCAATCATAAAATTGAATCATTTGTTTCTAGACATACTCTTTGCTAATTCATGATGCAGTAAATTTTTTTTCAGTCAATTTTGTGTCTTTTGCCACAGCTCCTCATATTTACATACAGACCCAGAGAAGCAACTATGAGAACTGGAAAAACTGTGGCAGAATTGTGGATGGCATATGGTGTACTTCAACTAATTAGGACGAAGTGCAATTTATTCCAAGTGCAAGGGAAGGATAAAGAGGGTCAGTTACTGCGTTTGTGTTAAACTGTGAATTTCACTCCTCACTTTTCCCTCCTCTGTTGTGGAATTTCTCCTGCCTGTGTTACTTGGGAGGTGATGTCAATGCAATGTAGGACATTAACGAGACCAACCCTCTTAGCTTTGAGGTTTGACTTTTTTTCCCCCCTCCCAGCCTCCTCTTAATGATGTGACAGTTTGTTGCTGCAGGAGAGAGACAGAGCTGCATCTCTGGTAAGTAAAGGTCAGACGCCCAGGGCTGCACAGGCTGCTGTGCTGATCAGAGCCGGGGAGAAAAGAGAGGAGTGATGGCTTCTCAGTGTTAAGAGTGGCCTCACAGGAGAAATGTATTTGAAATAACAATGGTTTGAAGCAGCATGTCACTAACCTCCAGTTCTGGATATTAAAAAAAAAAAAAAAAAAAAATCAAAAAATCCCAAGCCCTTGAATATTTAATGATGGCTGAACAAACTTGGAGTGACCCAAGGAAGATGGAAAGTCACAGAAGTTAATGCTCCCAAAATACAGCAGAGCTCAGTAGTCCTTTAAAGCCATTAAAGAGCTTTTACCATCTGTTAAGTAATTACCTATCATCATTAGTTATTAGAAGTAGGAAATGATGTAAAGGGCACCAACACGGCAGAAAAAGAACAGCCAGATTCTTGTGGGTTTCTTGAATGAGGTCATTAAAACGTGGTTATTAATACTGAAATAAAAATGAAAAACATTTATAGGCAATGTTGTAGCTGCTCTGTTTCAAAAAGGAAAGCACTGCATTTTTCCTGACGGTAAATATTTAGCTCAAGTCTTGCACTTGTTACTAGCATGAGATAAAATCTCCAAAAAACAACATAAGATGATGAAGATTTAAGGTTTCTGAATTCAATGCATTATAGCTCAGCTAAAACCAATTACGGAAAACTCAATTTGAGGATCATGACTTGGAACAGATTAAAAGCAAGTAACCAAAAACCCCCAAAGCTGTGTGTGCTTTTAAGCTCCATGATTCTACATGCAAACATATGCGCACATTCTTACTTATACACCAACATGGGCTTTGATTTCCCTAATTCTAATTTCTTTTTTTCACCCTTCTTAGTCAAAGTAGGTTCCTGAAAATGTATTTCTTTCTAAGCATTAGCTGCATATCTTTAAGGATTCTGCAAGAATTTAAGTCTGCAGGACTCAGGTTGCACAGGGATCCTTGGGTATAGGCTTTGCAATTTTTTAGTTTTATTTCCTTCAGCAAGTTGATATATCTCACTGCAAGTTCATAATACACATTAGAGTTATACAAATGCATAAAAGCCCTGTTTTGGACATTTTTTAAAATGTGCTCTCAGTTGTTTTTCATGGAGTGCTTCAATTCCAAAAATGATGTGGTTTTCTAGTAAAGGAGGATAATTCTGTGTCAGTCAAGAAAACTCAGAAGGATGCAGGTTGTTTTTAATGTATTTAAATTTGAATTTTGATAGTTGTACCTATTTCTTCTCAGGTTCTTTGCTGGAAAAGACACATTATTTGGCCTCCCGTAAAACTAAAAATGGTTTCAACGAGTGAAGTTGTTTGGAGGCAGCTTGTGAGGGCTGAGTTTGCCTATACTGCAACAGAGTAAATGTTGAGAAAATACCTTTTCCTTGGCAAAATTGCTTGGCTGTTTGTGAAAAACCTAAAAAGCCCATAAGTGGCAAAGGATGAGCTGTGCCTGTGTCGAGACACACAAAGGGCCTGTCCTGAATGTGTGCTTTGAGACCTCAGTGTTGAGAAACTGCCAGTATCCAAAGCAAATAGTGCCCAAGTGAGCGGCCTACCCTGGTCATGGAGTTGCACAAAAAAAATAGAAATAAAAGAAACTGTTGAACCATCTAGAAATCAAAGAGAAAGTCATGCCCAGGCTGCCCAGGCTAACCCTGGTTTATGGCTGCAATAACAAAACAACTGTGTGAGAAATGGGCAAATCTCATAAAATTAAAAAATAGGGAGTTTGCAAAATGCTATGGTGGATGATGAAGAAAGAAATACAGTAAACACCAAAAAAGGGGAATTAGGACAACAAAACCAGGGCCACTGGGGTAAGAGAACACAGGGTAAGCTATGTAATGGGGAGACAAGGGATGAACATGTGAAGGGGAAAAGGTAATAAAAGGAGTAAAAACTGGTGCTGCTCCAGGGCTCCTTTCAGCAGCCCCGTGCTCGATCAATGCAGTTGCTCCCACCATAATCCTGTCTGACTTTCTCTTCCATCCAGAAGGGGGACTTGTGGGATCCCCATGAGCTCATCCCAGCATCAAGCATGGATGGGAGCAACTCAGGGAGCACAGCATCACCTGCCCTTCACGACCCTCTGCATGAGGCTGCTGGATCTGTGTCTGCAGACATTGAAGGACTACAATGTCTCTCTGTGTATGTATGGCCTTCTTTCTTTCTAGGGGTCTATTGCAAAATCTAGTGAATAATATTGAATTACTTTGCTTCTCGGAGTAATTTTTCCCTGTGCAATTTCTTTTTAATACGTGCAGTATGCCATATATAAAATGCACCACGTATTTAAAAAAAAAGAACAAAAACAAACAAACAAAAAACCATCACAATTTTATTTTGGTTTTGGCAGCTGCAAGTCTAAACATTTAGGTAAAGAACAGAGGCATTAGGTTTGTGCTGCCAAAATCTTACTCATAATGTACCTTATCCCATTATTTTTTCCATCTGTTTTGT